TGCCACTGCACTTTGTGGAGCAAGATCTTACACTGGTTTTTAAAGGCTACAAAAATCTCTCTGTTTTGGAGCCAGACAACACATGTTCAGGAACTTACTGTTGTGCTCCATGCCCTGGTGCCTGGTAGAACTGCCTTTTCCAACACAGGGAAAGCAGGAGTGCTGTGGGCACACCAGCTCCCTGTGGGCACCTTCTGGTCAAAGACAAGGCCCAGTACAAAGTGACGGTGTCGCTCTGCATTGGTCCCAAGGATTGTCCCCTTGAAGTCAGACTGAGCCCAGCCCTCATCCTCACCAGGCTCCGGGAATGGCCTCAAAGAAATGATGGAGAATATAAAACGCTACCCTGCTTTCAAGAGTCCAAGCTGGCACCTTTGCCTGCCTAGATGTTCCTAAGTGGAGCTGAAAACCTTGCTCTGAATGTTTTCTCTGGGACTGTTTCATTAAATGAAAGTGTTCAAAACTGCTTTTATAGAAACTGCTGAGGCTCCGAAAGCAATACCTCGAGCAGACACAAGCAGGGCGACTGGACAGCAAACCACTAAAGGCAACACCAAATGGGACTGGCCATGAATGCTAAGCCTTCAGGCAGGCTTAGGGCACCTGGGCTCAGCAGCTCCCATTCCTCTGTATATTTAACCCCAAGACACACCTGAACCCCCTGGCATAGGGAACAAGAGGCCTGGAAGGGCTCCCTGTCCTCAGGGCAGTGCCCTCAGCACGGGGCTATCACATTGCATGTTGTTTACACAATGGCACAATATAAAATCCATTTGGAACCAGGGCTCACTCTCTGCTATTAAAGAATCCATCAGTGAATTTCATTTTTTATTGGTTCACTTACAGAACTCACAGCGGTGTGTTGTGTTTATTTTTCCAGAGCACCAATAAAAACCTTTTTTGATTAAAAAAAATGGAGAGAGGGAAAAGAGAGAAAGAAAGAAAAAGGAAGAAATGAAAAGCTGACCTGGTATAACCCAGGCGAGCGCTGAACCTCAGCAGCGCTGGGTGAAATGAGCCAACTGCTGAGCAAATGCTCGGCTGTGGCCGTAACCAGCAACAATCGAAACCTGTTTATGGCAGAATTTTGGCTTTATAAAAACAAGCACAATCGAGCCCTGCTATATTAAACCAGGTTTTGTCACAGACCGACCGCTGAAGATGCAGAGCAGATGCAAAGCCCTAGGAGTCAAGTATATGGGCCCAATCCTGCTGGATGCAGACAGCATGGGCGGTTCCAGGTATTTATGGTGCTCCATTCCCACGTTGCCCCAGAAATTTTAAATAATCTATGCTTGGTGTTTCTTTAGACTTTTTTTTTCTTTCTTTTCTCATTCAAAGGCATACATATTCCTCAAAACCAGCTGCCTTTGGCACGTATGACCTACAGGCCTATCTGGCCTTTCTTCAAACTTTCTACTGAATAAGAAATAAAATTTGCATCTTTAAAGCAAAAATAGATCTGAACATGAATTCTATATTTAACAGAACTAGTAAATTTTATTTTTTTTAAACAGGTTAGTTCTGGCCTTTGCCATCAATTATTTCTCAAAACACAAATTTTGTGTAACTGCATGTTTAAAGAACAAGCAATTAAAAAGGAAACAACTTGCTTTAAACAGACTTGATTTTTCCCAGCTTGGTTAAGAGAATTCATATTCAAAATGTCAGGTAAAATTTACATATAGTTCTTTTTTTTTTTTTTTTGTAATCCACCTTAGAAAAAGTAAGAAAAAAATCCTAAAAATCCTATTTTATAAGTTTGACAGATATCACACTAGTTTGTGTCTGGGGAAACCACAGGGCCCAGAGCAGGGGAACGGCCGCCATTTTGTGGAATGGGCACCATTTTGTCTTGGGGAAAACCACAGGGCGCGGAGATGGGAATGGCCGCCATTTTATGAAAGGGGCGCCATTTTGAGTCTGGGGAAACCACAGGTCCTGGAGCAGGGGGAATGGCCGCCATTTTGTGGAATGGGCGCCATTTTGACTCTGGGGAAACCACAGTGCCCAGAGCCAGGGAATGGCCGCTATTTTGTGGAATGGGCGCCATTTTGTGTCTGGAGAAACCACAGGGCACAGAGCGGGGAACGGCCGCCATTTTGTGAAATGGACGCCATTTTGAGTCTGGAGAAACCACAGGGCCCAGAGGAGGGGAATGGGCGCCATTTTGAGGAACAGCCAATATTGTTACCTATTACACCTTGTAGAACGTTAGTGAACTGCTCACTTTGGTTATTCTTTATTAGTTACCGATTCTAGGCTGGCCACCACAGGACTAGGAAGCAGCTTCACAGTACCATGCGCACGGGGTTTTGGTATGAATTCTATGGACATTAATAAACCAGAAACATCTCTCTGGGCAAGAACCAAGGCAGAGAGTGCCCGACTGGAACAGATGTCCAGAACTGTAAAGAATATTTGCACTCACTCAATTTGTCATCTTCGCTTATCTTTAGAGGATGACAAATCTTGCTAAAAACCAACTTACATGTTGCTAAACCTCTTGGAGGCTTTTAAGAGTCTTCACTCTGAGGCTTGTCTAACTTGGAAAGCAAATCTTCCAGTTATCATGGGACAGGTACTTATCGATACCTGCATGGGTGGATACTGATAGCGCCTTTATCGCATTCAGCTTAATCCACTTGGGAAACAAGCCATTAAGTGATCCACAGAAGGCAGCTCAGCAGGAGCATCCACTCTGGGCAGTACCAGGCTTTGCATTCATATCCCAGCTCCCTCTCCCACCACTCAAGTCCTTGGCCTTCAGATAAGGGGGTGTCAATCAAGTGGGAAGTTTATCCTATCAAAACCTCCAAACTCTTGGGGAAAAAAAAATAAAAATCAAACTGTGTAAGAGCTGGAGCCTGTGTTTTCTTTCCCCCTTCCTGTGGGTGGGAAAAAAGAAACCAGCCTACAGATATAACACGGTGCTGGAAACCTTTGGGGATTAAAACATGATAGGCTGTATTTCAGCAGGGGTTTGGACAGGCATCACAGGGGGAGGAATCCCCTCATGGAAGGAGGAATGCCTCCCTCGCCATCACTAAATTACCTTGGCACTTTTCTTGCTTTCTTCTATCACTGTGAGCTTTCACTTGAATGTGTGCAGAGAAAGCAGCAAAATCAAATGACTACTTTTGCAGAGGCCTTTTTCTTTCCGCCCTGTCGGCAGAACAAATCTTACACAGACACAGGAAAACTGTTATGGTAAGCTTGTTCCCAGGACAGGAATAAGTCCTCTCCCATCCTCATTAACATTGTACAAAGTATTTCAGGCTTGCAAGTGCTACAGGACAGGCTTGACAGACATGCCTGTTGACCCGAAATATTAGCGGGGATTGGAAAACAACCGGCTGAAGCTTTCTGAACACGACCATCAGCGTGACTGCCAAGGAAAGCACCAGCAGCCGTTACTTCATGAACCAACATGTGATTTGCAGAAACACTTACACAGCTTAAAAAGTCTAAATCCTGTTTTCAAAGGAGCTTAGTCACCGCAAAGTGATTTCGGTATCTCAGTACATCCAGGGGTTGGCCCTTGGAAGTGCAACTTTCCGTGGCAATGAGTCGTTGATTATGAATTTCACAGAGGGAAATTCCTGCTACACAGCTATTGCAGGAGAACTAAAGCTCCTCTAAAATACATGTCCTCCAGCACAAGCCCTACACCTCCACTCCGGCACCTGGGCAGAGTGAGCTGAAACAGCAGCGACACGAACCTGATAGGAACTGTGAAGGTGGGAAATGTGGAGATCCCAAATAGAGACCAGGCAGAATGATCACCTCAGGATGTGGGCAACTTATTGCACATGCACAAAACAATTAACATACAAATTCTTTGCCCATGAAGAAACCACAAGTCACCACCCCCCAGACTGAGCTTGCATACAAAACTGTATAAAGAAATCGGGTATTCACGTAACACAGGAAAATTATTGATTCAATTCAACAAACAGTCCCAGAGAGAATGAGATGCTCCAGAGTCCACATTGGTTAAATAAAATCAGTTTCCTTGCATTTTGTTCAAGTCATTCAAAAGGGATGCACTGTGTTAGACCTGCCCTGGGAGACTTGCTCTAATATGGAATCCACATGTTGTTTTAAGGCAACTATTTTCAGAAAGGCTGTTGCCACAGTTAAAACACTAGTTTTGTGCAAGAGACCCATTCCTGAGCCCCTACCATTTTCCAGTTCCCTGCCATTATAATTCAGAGAAATTAACTGCTGAAATCCTTTGCTGGGAATGGGAAGAGCTCCTGTGCCAACATCCTAGCAAAGATCAACATAGCTTACTTACACCCTGGAAGAAAGGATAATGAATTCCAATCAGTACTGTAAGTAACAGAAATGCAGGAGAAATTCGTGTCCTTTTCAGTAAAGGACTTAACATATTAGTGCAGAGCACGGGCAAGTAGAAAAACGGAATTGAAAAGGCAAACCCAAAACACTTGGATTCTAAAGTCTAAACCAGCTCTGAAAGGGAAAATGGTAAGGAAAATTGCTAATAACCACAAATCAAGCTGCAAGCCAAGCCCTTTGTCATTTAAAAGCCTTAGATCGGTGGTTGGAGTGGCATTATTTGAATTTAATGGGCACACAGTAAAGGGCTGTTTAATTAAGCATTGAAAAACTTGATGTGACCATTTAAAATACCCTTCAATCTACCATTTGCTATAACCTACATTAATAGCTAGAGCTTACTGGAAATGCTCCACTGGGAGAAATTTTGGAGTGAGGAAAGCTCAAAAACTTTCTGCATGAAAATTTCCGTTTTGTTAACTCTAAAAACCATGGAAAAACACCTTAAAGCAAAATATTTCATTAAAATCAGTTCAGTAGTAATGGAAAAACCCCACACAGGTATGTTCACGTATGATGATGTATAGCCTGATGCAAATCTAAGTTCTGATCACTAAAACCTTGAATTTTTTTTATTTTTTCTATGAGCTGGCCTCTTTGCTTGGACTACCCAGAAGGCAGCACCGAAATCCTCCTACCTTGTGCCATTTGGAAGATGTCTGGAGGAATGTGCCTCTTGTTCAATGGTTGCTTCTCATTCTCACTCATACTTGAACAAGCAGCTGCCAAAACAAGCAGAAAAAACCCAAACAACTCTAAGAGATGGCAATGGACAACTTTAAACATTAATGGAACAATAATGTGAGACAACCAGATTAGTTCAAGGCTTCTTTTTTCCACTCTCAATAGAAACAGTAGGTCAGAAAGTCAGCTAAGATCATACTGATGGTCTACTCAGCTATGGCACAGATTTGTTCAATATGAGCATTGTGGCTTCCTAATCCAAGGAAGAGTATTATTTCCAAAATGTGAAAGCATTGTCTTCATGTATAACACCAGCTGAGCAGACTAGTGAACTCATTCCTGCTTACCAATTCATCTTTATTTGGTTTTCCACTGTGAGATTAGATCATGCAGGAAAAGTCCACCAAATAATACTGTAAAAAGAGATGAACTCACACAAGATTCTTGTCGGTCATTAAAAAAGCGCCTTCTGTCAAACTACTGGAAATTAATTAACTTTGAATACTCAAATACATAAACATTTCTGCAAAAACACTTCAGGATGAAAAAATTATTTATTGTGCCCTCCAGGGAAATGTACCTTGTCAATCCCTTGTCACTAAATCACTTGCTAACAGCTATGGCGTGAGGTAAATCAGCGTTTCAGCCTGATGAGTTTAAAGACCCTGGTGACTAATGAATTCTCCTATTCATTCTGGAGGTTACATCTGTGCCCGAGCTCTCTTTTAACAACCCGGTGCTGAAAAGATCTGATGTAATTTTACTATTTACTAAACAGGTGTCTGCAATCATATCCAATGATGTCAGGCTGCTTGCTTGGAACTCACTTTCGGACAGCTATCCGAGCTGGTGCTCTGGGATCATAAAAAGGCTGTTCCCTGGGCAGCTACAGCCTCCAGTGCACCCCACTCAGTGATAGCGAGGGCTAATTAATGCCACTTGGACAGGAGGACGGACCAGGGATACTTCATAACCTGATGGGGTTAGTTCTGTAAACCCCACTAATCAGGGCATCTGCTGAGCTCTCGGGTTTGCTCCCCAGGAAAGCTCTTTGCTCACACGACTGAGCAGCCCAGCAAGTGCTCGGCCCTGGGTGTTCCCTCCCCACTGGGAGGGACATGGTGCTTAGTGGAGCTGCACCACTGGAAGAGCAAATTGGCACCATGTCTTCCTCATCCCACTGGGTGATCCATCTTCCTCACTGAGGGTGAGAAGCCCAAGTGATATTTTCCTTTAAGAGACAACATAATAGCTACCAGCGTGGCAGTGCTTCGCTGGCATCAACTAACCCAAGGCTCCCTGGATGATTTCCCAGTCACCTCTTGAGTCATCCAGAGGCTGAGGGTGGCCCTGTGACCCCCATCCCAGGCAGGCTGATGCAGAGCACTGGGCTGGGCTGCTGATCCTCTCCCTTAAGAGCTCCAAGAGCCTCTCTGGGAAGCACCTCCTGCGGGTATGTTCAATATGGAGCATTCGGAACGTCACTATCTCCAGCCCAGGGAATGGGTGGGCACAGCACTAATGGTCTCTGTGTCACAACCCTTATAATACCCACACAAACCCACTCTGGACCTCAGCTCCAGCTGCTGGCAGGGCACTGAGCACAGCCCAGGCAACACCCAGCTCGGCAGGAAAGAAATAATATATTGGGCAGTCAGGATTTCATTTCAGGAATGTCTTAATTTCATTGAGAAATGGTATTTGGTTTTAACAACGTGGTATTTTAATTGTTTAATGCTCAGTTACTCATGCAGCATTGAGCTGTTGGGGGTTTCCAAAGGTTTTGTAATACTGCTCCCTTGGCATGAGGGAAATTTGAGGCAAAAACAAACAAAAAAAAAAGAGGCAGGAATGCCAAATCTGGGTGAACAGTGATGCTTGACCCCCACACAACATGAGGGTCCTCAGCCCATCTAGCTAATTAACCCCATAAACTAAACTATCCTAATTAGGTTATAGAATATTCCTGATTTTAGACACAAAATATATTGCTTAACTAAATGAAATCTTTCACAGAAGAAGTATTTAAAAAATTCTATAACACAAAGAAGATTTTAGCTGAAATCTTTCCCATTTCAGCTCCACACTGAAAAAATTCCAGGGTAGACTAAAAATGTTTAGTCTTTAATGTTAAATTTTCCATGGAAAAAAAAGACAAAATTTTCCCAGATATGTTAATAAGCAACAAGCTGAATTTCTCGCTGCTGGAGACATGTTCATTTGATTATATAATTTTGGGCACTAATTTAGCATTCATACACCTGGAGTTTTAATGGGAAATTGCTTATTTTCATCAGACCAGTAAAACAGCATCAAAACGCTGCACGGGCATTTCTGCAGATATAAAATCATCCTAATTTGTTCAGTTGAACTCGTAAATTAAAAGCAACATGACACAACATTTGAACTCAAATCCAACCAAACTTGCTACTAGTTATGAGACCTCCATGCGGACGGTCTTTCTTGGCCCTAGGAAATGCTGAGGTGGGTTTAACACATTTTCCAAAACTCAGAATATTAAATCGCACATTTCAGACCCAAGGAGCTCCTAAGCCTGGAAGTTTGTGTCTGTTTTTTCCAGCTCTGTTGGTTGCATTTAAGAAAACACATTACCAAGGTTCACATCTTGCTGCAGAAAAGGAGCATTGAATCAGTACATTTGATTTTGCTTTGCAGAACCTGGTTTCTGACAATTTTTGAAGCCGTGGATGTAAAACAGTTAATTTCAGTGTTTTGTTTGCTTCAACAGAACATTTTCTGCTCTGCAAAAACTAATTTTCCAGGTCTGAGCCTACGTGTTTTTCAGATTTTTTCCCCCTGCTCAGTTTTTTTACTGGGTATTTAGCTCTTCCTTCCTTAATGGGAATTTAACAAGACCCAGCTGACAAGTGCTCAGTGAAGTGACCAAGCAGCACCTGAAGGAGATGGGATGTAACATCCACATAAAATGCCTGAGCACAATCATTGTTATTAAAAGGATAACCAAATGAATTCATAATGATGGGACACTCATTTCAAAGTGTTTCCATAGCTGTTACACATCAGGAAAAATAGGGAAGTTACCTCATTTTCTCCTATCCTAAATAACCTCATAAACTCACCAAAGAAATTAATTAGCCAATATTTCTTGAAAATTCATAACAAAGTTTCCATTTTTCCGTCAGATAATTCCTTAGTGCATTCTGGTTTTTAACTTCCTTCGAGTCTGGATCATTTTGATGTGTGAACAGACATTTTGTGTTTCCATGGGTTATTTCCACAGGTTCAAATATCTTCTGTAATCGACATTTTCCTGCTTACAAAGGCTGTCAAACTTGAAAGTAGCAGTTGATTGATAAAACATGGGTTTTGTCTGTAACTTAACTTCATTGTTAGGGCTTATTACTCAAGCTCTGAATAACTTCTCTTCAAAGTGACTTGCATTCAGGGGTTTGGGGATTTTTGGTTTGGTTTTTGGTTTTTAACCATCTACGCTTTAAGCTACTTTAATAAATATAAAGTAGCAACTGCTTTTCCATTTTCCTACAGGTAGATCTCTTCAACAACTCACTTCCACTTTAGAATTACTACTCTCTAAATAAAGAAGTGTAAATTGACTTTCAAAGCAAAGTCTTCCAAAGTCAACTTCATAATTGTTCAGCAACATTTATTCTTTCCAATCCTGGCTATAAAAAAAAAAAAAAGAAGAAAGCACTGAGGAGAGCACTGACACTTGAAGCATCACAGAGGACAAAAGGAAGCTACACGGGCCACAGGCAGCAGTGTAGGTGTTATTTAACATTAAAAACCCCCTCAATAGTTAAAAAAGGACCATTTCTTCTAGTGATGAGAAATGTACAAAAATACAAACCAGAGCTGAGTAGGGTCTTTTTGTTGGCTTTAGTGGATTCTGGGTGTTGTTTGTAATAAAGACTCAAGCAAGTTGGTATGATGCTGAAGTGAGCAGTCTGGGCACAGACAGGGATGCCTTTGCCTCTGAGCAAGTCATCACCAGTACAGTGCTTCAATGGTGGGCAACTATCTACAGTTTCCACCTGAACGTCACCAGTTTATAACACAGACACTCAGCAGTGCCATCAGGGCACCTCACCACTCTCCTCTGGGCAGGGGTCACCTCCCCCTTCCGCTGGCCCCAAGTTCTTCCTGCATTTCATAGAATCACAGAACGGTTTGGACCTTAGAGATCATCCAGTTCCAACCCTCCTGCCATGGGGCAGGGACACCCTTCTACTATCCCAGGTTGCTCAGAGCTCCATCCAGCCCAGCCTTGGACACTTCCAGGGATGGGGCAGCCACAGCTTCTCTGGGCAACCTGTGCCAGGGCCTCCCCACCCTCACAGGGAAGAGTTTCTTCCTAATATCCAATCTAAACATGCTCTCTTTCAGTTTGAATCCGTTCCTCCCTGTCCGGTTACTCCAGGCCCTTGTAAATAAACCCAGTAGTGTAGGATCCTGGTTTGATTCCCATAGGGTAGAACCCTGGATGCAGGAGGTGAGCAACACAGGATTTGACAAAACCAGACTGCGAGGGAGTTACAGAGGCTGAGCTCTGCCCAGAGATCACCTCCAACATCCTTCTCTCCTCCCTCACGCAATCCCGCTGCTCAGAGATGGCTCCTGGCCACTCTGCCATGGTCAGTCTGCGCTTTAATTTAACCCCACTGCAACCAGCGCAGTCTCAGAATTAAGCTCAATTGTCCTGGAGAGGGATGGATTAAAGCAAGAGCAAATTCTGTTTTTTTTGAGTACAGCAGTTTCACATGCCTTTGGCAAAAAACTGTTATTGCTTTCTGAAGCAGTTGTTGTTCCAGTGGCATGACTTCTGCAGGGGTGTTTTAATTATTGTTGGTGTATCACCTAACTTAGTTATGTACTGCTTTGAAGTTGTTCTTTGTATCTGACAGCAAGAGGATGGAAAACAAACACGACTGTTTATTCCCTTCCCCTTGCCCTGCGTTGGCTTGGTGCAGCCCTTGCTTTGGATTACACAAACATGGGGCAGATGGAAAAGGAGATCCAAAAGAAGTGTCCAGACGCA